GAAGGACGAGGGGGAGGGAGGATAGAAATAAACTGGAGGGCATATCCCCCTGCTACTGTGCTGAGGACCCACTGGTCTGATGTTATAGTGGCCCACGTAGGGAGGAAGGGGGGCGGGCGGTTGGAAAATAAAAGGGGAGCAGGATCCAGGACACAGGCTGGAAGGTCGCCCTCGAGCACACCCTCAAAATGCCTGCTTACCACCCGGTTGGTTATGGGTGGAGCTTGAGTGAGCAGAGGATGCCGGCTGATGGCCTTGCCGGTGCTTATAGCCCTTGTCCTTCTTGTGGAAGGACTCCAACTGAGGTTGGCTGCCAAACCTTTGTGTCTGTTGCAACTTAAACCGCTTCCTTGCCAGCCCCAGCATGTACAGGCCCAGGGTGTGCAAGATAGCCCTTGAGTCTTTCAGGCCAGGCAATTTACTGTCTGTTTGTTTGGAAAACAGTGGCAGGCCATCCAACAGGAGGTCCTGGATGGATTGTTGAACCTCCGTCGAAAGGCCCGATGACTGCACCCAGGACACCTGCCTCACTGAAATGGCCGAGGCCATGGTCCAGGCCACAGAGACTGCTGCATCTGAGGCCGTTTGGAGGGCTGCACTGCCCTCATCGAGGATAGCCTGGAATTTCTTCCTGGGATCCTCTGGCAGCGAGTCCATGAACTTGGCCATAGACTGCCAAATATTAAAATTGTAACAGCCAAGCAAGGCCTGATGGTTGGCTACTCTCAGCTGGAGGCTGGATGTAGAGATTGAGCCTCTTTGCCTCCTTGTTCTTAGGCATCGATCCTGGTTGGCCTTGTCTATCGTGCTCATTGGCTGCTGACACAAGCAGTGAGCTTGGGGCAGGGTGGGTATAAAGATACTCATAGCCCTTAGTGGGGAACATAGTATTTTCATTCTGCCTGCTTGGAGGTGGGGGGCAGTGAGGAGGGTGTCTGCCATAGGGCCTTAGTACTTTTCACCACGCCCTCATGCACTGGCAATGTCACTCTGGAGGAGGCTCCTGCACTCAGTACATTAAACAGAGAAGCTGAGGGCTCTGCCAGCTCCTTGGCTTCCAGACCCAGGTTTGAGGCGACCCTCTTCAAGAGCTCCTGGTGAGCCTTGGCATCATCCTGGGGAACCGGGTGAGAGGGCCCCACTATCACCTCATGAGGCAAAGATGACGAGAAGGCAGGTACAGGTGGGTCTGCCAACTCCACCACTTCTGCCAGGGGAGCCTCAGCCGAGGCTGGCTGGCCCTGGGGAGCCTGTTCTGATTCCGCGTCTGAGTCGGGGGCGGATGGGAGACTGTCACAGATCATCTGTTGGATGCCTGTGAGGCCGACCTATGCCCCTGCGACAGTTGGGGAAATCCCCAAGGTTCCAGAGTTGCCAGGGAGTAGGTCACTGGCCCTGGGGCCATGCTGCCACTGGTGGCCCAGCAGGGAATGCCGATGTGCCCAATGGATGGTCCTGGCCTGCAGGCAGGATCTCTTCCTAGCTGTCAGAGCCCGAGGAGGGACTAGGACTGTGACGAGGCCGCCTGTCTACCCCGATCCTGTCGGCTCTGGCCCTGGACCTCCATTGGGGATCTGTACGAGGGTGATGGCTTTCAGTGCCACGATCTGTGACCGGCGGCAGCGTTCGGTGGATCACTGATGGTACCCTGGCGATAGATGCCTTACATGTAGTGAGTGATGCCGCTCCGTTGACCGGTAGCGAGTAGACCGACGTGTCGGAGACCGCAGATTAACCATACTGGCGTTCTGGAGAAGGGGACTGGCCTGTCAACCCTCCGGAGTGGTGCCGTGAGTTGGAAGAGCAGCTCAGGTATTTCCGGCACCGGGACTCTGTGGATTGGTGCCATGCCTCTGCGGGTCTGCGCCAGCCCACATGCGATCGATGCCTCAAGCCCAAGGAACCCTGCCTGGAGTCCAGGGACTGACGCCGGGAACTCTGGCAGGCAAGCCGACCCGTGTCTGGGGGCTGGTGGCGATGTTCAGGTGTGTGCTGAGGGGGCAACTCCTGTGGCGGGGAGCAGTGCTGCACTGATGGGGACCATTGAAAGGGTCCCAATGCAGGTTTACCCCTGGAACGGGGCACTTCACTGGCCTGGCAGGGACAGAATGTCCTTAGCGGCCTGAAAGGCCTCAGGTATGGATGGTACCACCAGGTATCAAGTGCCTCTGCTGCTCCCTGAGGTGGTAGGCAGGTCTTGGAGTGGGCTCAACTGCTCAGCGGGAGTCAGGGCCCGACCTCTGTCCAGAGGGGAAGAGCTGCCCTGTGTGGGTCTTTGCTCTCCTCCGGCTCTCTCCTTCCATTTAGGGGACATAGGAGAATGTCTCCTCCCGGCCTTTCTTTGCCTTTTAGCCAGTACCAGGGATGGGTATCGGCGCCGGTCTGAGACCGGTGCCGGTGGCATGCTGCGCACCGAGGCCACAGTGCTAGGAGCAGAGTCCGATCTGGTCAGCTCTGAGGCCAGTGCAAGGGTTGACTTCATAAGGAGCACTTGGAGACAAATGCCCTGCTCCTTTTTGGTCCACGGCCTGAAGCTCTTGCAAAGTCACTTGTCACTAACGTGGGTTTCCCCTAACTTGATGATTATCTGTCCTGTTCATTCCCTCTGAAGCACCTGGCATCGGCCACTGTCAGAAGACAGGACACTGAGCTAGATGGACCATTGTTCTGACCCAGTATGGCAGTTCTTATGATTTAATCAGTCAAATCTGGTGTTTCGAAATTGTGGGTTGTGAAGTCGATGCCTGAGAAGCTGTTGGTCTCTTTTCTGGAACCACTGTCCCTTACGTTCAGGTTCATAATGATTCTGGGAGGGATCAGATCTCTCTGCCATCTGGGACCTACTGAACTTTCTTTTTTGTCTAGGGGAGTAAATTTCCAGAGAGCACAAGGTGGCTCTAAAGCGCAGTTGGCTCTCTGTGATGATCACCTGGAATTGCTTCTTCTGGTTTGTTGGAAGATGCTCAATAAAGGCATTTAACTTTGAATGGTTAGTATGGCTGTATTTCACCATGAGGGTTTGATAACGGGCAATCCTAAATGGTAAGATAGCCGATGTGTATGACTTACAGCCAAATAAATCAAGATGTGTTAAATCTTTAATCATACGGAGTCAATTTAGCCTGGTGCTGTCAGCCATGTTTATTCACAGCATCAACCACAAGAGAGTTGGGGGATGGGTGCAAAAAATAAAAATTCAGAGTCCTTGGAGGGAACATAATTTTTTGTCTGCCCTCTTATGGGTGGATGGTACTGTGGTTAGGGTATGCCCAATTATTTTTGCAGGGTCTAACAAGGCCTCACTAACAGGTAATGCAATGTGGGCAGATGATGAAGTATGCAGAATATCACGTAATTTATGTGGAACTCCTTAACCTCCACCAGTTGAATTTGCAAGGGGTCCACTATCCTTTTAAAAGGGTCCTGGAACTGTTTAAAATCATCAACCAAGGACGATGGAGAAGGCATGACAGCTTCATCTGAGAGGAGGAAGAGATATTAGTTGTAGGGGCAATCTCTTTGTCCAATCTTGCTTCCTGCCCCTCAAAGATCCCCTCTTGTGATCAGGAACCTTAGACAGAGAGGCTGGTGGGAACTGTTTGCTCTTCTCCTGGCAAGAAAAACTAGGGGCCCTGGAGAATTCTTGTATGGGTTCAAGGGTCACAGTATGGCTACTGAGGTGGTACATAAGGCATGGCTGTAGGCACCCAAGTGTGTCCATACCAGCATGGTGGAGCGCATCGCTCACGAGGATAGTCCAACACCTTAGAGGTCTCAGGATAGAAAGTTCCTTGACAATGGACAGAAAAGCCCCAGCCAGAAATGTGAGAAAATGATTAAAAGTCCCCATCCTCCTCATCATCCTCCTCCTCACTTGGTAGAGATAGGCATAAACTCCATCGGTAATGGGCAAATCTCTGGGAATGAGAAGTGGTTGGTACCGAGAATGGGTTGGTGCCAAACAGGGGAGATTTGAGTGTTTGTTACTACCAACTCCCAAGAAAATCAAAACTCTTGCCTCATCGGTACCGTACGCTCTTCGGTACTGCAAGTTGGGCAGAGGTAACTGTGGCAGAAGGCACCAACAGTACCAAACGTCTCATGCTCTCCGATGAATGACCAGTAGGTGTCAGTCTGGTCTTTTGTGGAGCTGAAGTGCTGGGTACTGAGGTCCTAGTAGACTCTGTCAGTACCAATTTAGAAGAGCTGGTCATCTTCTCTCTGCCACTCCTATCACCTGATGGTACTGATCTTCCTGAGCTGGATCCCTTAGTGACCTTACGCTTGCTGGTGGTCACAGTACCTGACGAAACTGCAGCCTCGTCAGAAATCAGTAGGTGGCAAAATGAGTGTCTGAATCTGAGACCATCTCTTTGAGGTGGATGCGCTATCCAGAAGACTTGAAGACCACTTTCTAGAGTCTTTTTGAGAGGATCCCAAAGATTTCCTCTTCAATGCTCTCGAGGCGTGCTGTACCGAGGAGGTTTAAGTGATTAACCTGTTCGAAGACCATTGTACGGCGTGGGGGGGGGTGGCCACTGGCTGGAGTCAGAAGCTGGCTGGAGCGAACCCTCCATCATAAGGAGACATAGTTTAAGTTTCTGGTTCTTTCTGGCCCTCAACTTTAATTTCAGGCAGAAATTACACTTTGGGGGAACACGTGACTCCCCAAGGCAATGGACACACTGATTGGGACAGCCTCTCGGCACGAAAGGCAACTTTTAAACCCAGGAGAATCAGGCATACCCTAAAATCTGTTATCTGAGGTGCAAGCGCACGGAGAGTGGAGCACTCATAGAAACACTACTTGACGAAGACAAGGTTTTCTATTAAAGCCAGATGACCCATACCAATCCATGATCTAATTTACATATTCAGAAGTGGAAAGGTAGAGTTTTGCCTTCTGGGACCCCAGGTACCTTGTGATTCCATGGTCATGTTCTTGCAAAATGCTTTAGATGTATTTTATTCTGGTTCACAGAAGATTGTTAATGTCATACCTTTCCAACTGTTTCTGATGTTTCTCCTCTCTAGCTTGGGCCTTCATCTGTTGCACTTCAATTGTATCAGGCTTTCTCCTCCTCATGTACAGTTCATGATTTCCCATGCACAGTGCCAAAATCCGCTTATTAATTCTCAGACGAGGTGCATAAAAAACAAAATCCTAGCAACAAAATATTTTAAGTTTAATTAAAGTGCAGCTCTTAAATTCTAGATTTTTAGACTGTAAGCTAAAATAAATACATTACATGTTTGGATTTGTAAGATTAAATATAATTTTACCACAATCTTGACATTTTATCTCTGGCCAGTGCAATGGCAGAAATCTACAGCAGTATTCCCCAAATGATGGCTCCCGATCCCCACAAGTGAGTTGAAGGAAGATTGTAAAATGGGTCACGGGCCTGGCATGGAAAGGAGACCCAGGGGACGAGGGGGAAGTGATCCTTCTCTGCACTCACTCACCCTACAATGGAAGCTCCTGTCCGGCCATTGCAACCTGGTCTACAGGGTCACAGCGCCACGCAATTTGGCCCAGCCACCCCTCCACTGTGAAGTGAAGGCAGGTTGGGCCTGCTTTCTAACTCAAACCCCCTGGGCCTCCCCTCTGCACTGGGCTGGGATTAGGGTTGTGGTACCCCTTCAGAGGGACAAGGAAAAGGATACTGGCCTATGATTTTGGAACCCCAACCCCCAAATTTGGACCCTGGGTGAATGAATCTCTCTCTCTCTCTCTCACACACACACACACACACAAAATTAAAAAAAGCAGTTCATGGGTCACCTTTGTAAGAAGTTTGGGAACCACTGATCTACAGGACTACCAGCTGAAAGAACTATCAATGTTATGAAAACAGTGGGAGAATATTTATTGTTTACTTTAATATTTTGGCTAATTCATGAAGTTTCATTTTGTGCCCCAACCTATACTTCAAAAGGAAGATGCTGCAGTGGTGGAGAGCAGCAAAAAGTTGTAAGAAAACTGGGAAAAAGCAGATATGTAACTTTAAGGGATATGGTACAGCAGCTGTCCAACCTGCACTAGTAAATGTATTAGTGGAAAAATATCCAAAAATCATCCAAACAACATCCAAAATGTGGATAATACAAGAACAAGATAAAAATAGCATATTCTCTCTATATACTTTAAAATGAACATTTCTTTTTGATTACCAGTTATCCACAACTGAGAAGTCTAAGTAATTAAGAGAGGCCCTTGGTGCCATTTTACACAGCAGAAAAGGGCTATCGCTTATGCAAAAGTGTCAGAGCAAGTTAGATCATATTTAAAATCCTCATACATAAAGAAAAATATCCCACAGACTTTACTTACAGGGGCCTTTTTGTCAATTGGCTTTATGACAAACTTTTTGTCATTAAATGAGATGTTTCTGATTTCACTCCAAGGGAAACCAATCTTGGGTGTCAATCTTCAAAAAACAAAACAAAACCAAAAAACTATTTTTTAATCAAAGGCACAAATATATGTATTTCCACCAAATATTTAAATCCATCTTTATTAACTTTGTATTGTTTTTTCAGTCACACTTTATATGTTATGGTTACATTACCAACCAGTTAATGAAGGAATGATAAATAGTTAACAGATGTTTTAATTACACCTCTACCCCGATATAACGTGACCCGATATAACACGAATTCTGATATAACGCGCTAAAGCAGTGCTCCGTGGGGGCGGGGCTGCGCACTCCGGAGGATTAAAGCAAGTTCGATATAACACAGTTTCACCTATAACGCGGTAAGATTTTTTGGCTCCCGAGGACAGCGTTATATCGAGGTAGAGGTGTAATGTTTAATTGTTACAGATAGTTATACAGTGTAGGGAATCAAAAGTTTCCTTATAACTAACTATAGCACCTTCTACTCATGTGCTCATATCCTTTAATCTTTAACACATACTATTCATGTTATAAGCCTGGTACAAAAATCAATAATTTATTGACCCTTTATAAACAATTAGAAGTATACTTTTTATAAAATGAGTGACTGTTTTCGCAAAAGAAACACTGAAAAGTCTGTCACTATAACAAAGACAGAAGTTAAATCACCTTCCTTAAGTAATTTTGCATTTTGATTAAAGTTAGTTGTGCAATTTGAGTTGCTACACTGATTCCCATAACTCAATTTAAACTTCATCCCCTGCATTGTTTTCAGTTAAACATTCGGATATAATTGTTACCAGAAATAGTTGGAATATGTTGTGCATTACATTACATCAATGATGAATATTTTTCTCAATTGGACTAAAAGTCTTTCCCATTTACATTACAGTATCACAATTACAAACACTAGCAGCAGTTAGCAACTGAAGATGTATTTCAGAACATCAGAAAGAGGTATTTCTTTCTATTTCAACACCCTAAATGAATATTTCCTCCAACTCTTAGAAGCTACAATGCCAACTAATGGCAATATAGGTTTGCCAGGGATACTCTCAGGGACTACATTTATTAGTTTGAAGGCAGGTATTTTGAATGTAGATGGTATTGGCTATCTGATGTTGAGCTCACAATATTTAACTTAGAAAATTCATGACGACTTTGTTTGCTAGTATCGTGAGTCTTAAGAGTTGCTTTATTATATATTCTTTCTATATCTGAAATGATGGGGAAAGAGAACAAAGGAGGAATGGGTGGACAGGAAGCTTTTCCAACCTCCTAAACAGAACAAGAGGTTTCAATCTATTAACAGTTTTCTTTGAAGAATAAAAAAAATTACACTCTATACCAGCGCAGCTTTGTTCTATAAGCTCTTCTTCTAATTGCAGCTATTACAAATAAAATGCTTCCCATTTTAAAAGAGTACTTCCACTTTTGCCATTCTAACAGGATATTGTCGTTGTTCTTACTCTCACTGAAGCCAAGAGTAGGAAGCACAGAGAGCATCCATACAAAAAAAAACTTTGTAAGCCACTCATCTTCAAAATGTGGAAGTCCAAATTGAAACCCACAAAATGGGAGTAAATTCCCCTTTAATTTGAGAGGAATTCAAAAACCTCCATAAGCGAACTTTTCTTCCACTTTCTTTCTCGTGTTATTTAATCTGCAACATATTTGGGACAAAATTGTCTCTTATTACATGTATGTACACTGCCTAGCACAATGGGGCCCTAATCTCTGTTGGGACACTATTATAATAATACACATAATAAAAACAACTTACTTGTCATCGTGCTCATAAATATTCAGACCCAAAGCATCGACACCTAGCCACAATTCAGTACCCTTTTTATTCTTTATTTCAAAGTAGTTGACTCCATACATTTCCAGATCTTGTGCAATCTTGAGGTATTCCATCATAGAATCTTCCCTGACGAGAGAAAATAGCGTAACTAAGAAACGAAAAATAAATTATGTATACGAGTGGAGAAACTAAAGAATGCCTAAATTTGACACTTCAAGTTAATAATTTTATTTAATTCCTCTTGAGGAATTCACCTGGAATTCTATCCGGGTACTTCTACAGCTGCCATCACCATAGTATCGAGTTCCTCACAATAATTAAATTTTATTCTCAAACACCACTGTGAGCTAGGGAAGTATTACATCCATTTTACAGATGGGGAATGGAGGCACAGGGTAGATAACTAACTTGCCCAACATCACACACCCAAGTCTAGTGCCCTATCCACTAGGCCATCCTTCCTGTCTGACCTGGATAGGGAAAAAAAAAAAAGGAGGGAGTGTTAAAACCAAAATAATTTGAAATAACCCCCCCACACACACACACACAAAACTTAAGCTACATGGGACAATCTCTGCATAATTACCTTAACATCCCTCTGTGTTCTTCATGCCAGTTCTGTATTCTTTCTTCCCACTGTTCTTTTGTCAGTTTGTGCTGTTCTAGAACACTGTCAATAAAAGAGGCTGCTATGAAATGAAACTGATAAGTGATCTGATCCATAAAATACACAAATAAGTTCAGGTATAGATCTTATAACAAATACATAATAATAGTTATGCCAAATAAAAAAGTTGAACAGATTCAGGGTAAAATATTTAACTGGCATTTTCATTAATAAACACTTTATAAAATTTGATTTTCAAAGTACTCCACGATGTCTAAAAGCGTGAAATAAATCATTTGAAGGGAAAAAACCACTGCAGTTTCAGTTTTAACAATAGCTTTTAAACTTTCACTGTGACACAAGCCAATACCTACTCAAACACATTAATGCATAATTTTAATTCATAGCTTCAGCAATTTAAATCTGTAGGATAATGATACTATGTTTGAAAATGAACTAGACAAAATACAGAATCACAGAAAACTTTCCAACTCTTGTAGCACGAATTAAAGAACTTCTATACACCCACAAATACACCCAAACTTTTCAGTTTATTCCTAGAACTAAACCACCAGTTCTGCTGTTAGCTGGAAGAGAATGTGGGGGTACTTGCAAAAGAAACAAGAATAGGTTCCAGGATTTAAACTCATAATGTCATAAGCAGTTTTGTTCATGTTAGCTACAGCCATGGACCTGTTTCAACCTGTTAGAACGTATCAGCATAGTACAGCAACATGGCCTGGTATAGCAACAGTAGAAACCAAGTGCACAATATAAGGAACTATATTATATTAGTTAGTTACTAAGATTAAAAGTTGTTTGTATGTCTTCTTAAAGTTAAACCACGGAAAGTTTTCATCTCACTTTTAGTCTACGTAGCTAACTTTTTTAACATCCCTGTAGAAACTGTTTTAAAGGGTGACTGGTCAGAAGAGGGAGTGCAGAAGTGATCTTACTTAAGAGATCAGCTCAATTGAGTTCCAGCTCTTCCTAGTTATTGACAAAAGTAACATTTACGACCTTCCCCCCCCTCCCTTTCTAGCACCATTCAACAATGGGTGAGTGAACTGGATTCTGTTTTGCCTTATACACCAATAATTTAATTCATACAATACAATTCAAGTACAGACTCTTGCTGGTGACAATACAGAAGTTAGAATAAAACAGAACTTGACCATCATACCCAGGGCAGAGTTTCCAGTGCTGGCTGTTAAAAAGTACATCTGAACTTAAGATAAACAGGATGTCTGAATTTTAAAAAAGCATATTTCAGCTGGAGCTGAAAGACAAAACTGATACCAAACAATCCAATTATCACAGTAACTTTTCAAAAAAAGAGACCACACTTTAAAGTCTGAGTAGTAAGCTTGTCCAAGGTTTAATCTTGTACAAAATAAACTTTAACATACTTAAACTTGCTTTTCTTTTTGAGAAAGGCTTTCAATATTAGAATATTTAAAATGGTTAGCTAGGGTTACCATATCTATTAAATAAAAAAAGAGGACCCTCCACAGGCTCTGGCCCCGCCCATTTCCCC